TTTGTGGAGAGCCATCTGGTGTTATCATCATCACCGAACCTGCGGCTTTGTGAGGTAAAGGGTGCCAGCCGTACGCACACAGAACTAACACAATTCTAATATTTTGGTGATTTTTTATTGAAATTTGATATTCATGTCTCTCCTCACAGCAAGAAGGTTTCTGGTTCATTTCCTAATCGCGTGGAGGAGTTTGCATATTTTCTCCTGTTTCTGGATTCTTTAGGTGCTCATATTTTCTCTCTAATAAACAACAGTAACTCAGTTGGTGTGTTTGTCCATTGACCCACAGTTTGGCAGTGCGATTCCAACTCTCATAGATGATAGATAGCTATCATTGTGTCCTTGAGCAAGACACCCACTTTACCCTGTGTACACTGGTACATGAACACGTGTGAGAATGGTGGAGTGGTTCCTTTATGTAAAGCTCTTTGAGTGCCTTGAAGGTGTAAAAGTGCTATAAAATGAGAGCATTTACCAAAACCATATGGGCTGTATACTGGCAGGTAGTATTTGCATCATTTTATTGAACAGCTAATGAGAAGAATTTAAAGATATAGTACTGTATTTTTCAGACTATAAGTTGCACTTTATTATGGTTTGGGTGTTTCCTGCAACTTATACTCCGGTGTGACTTATATGATAAAATGTCTACACTGACAGCCACAAGAGGCTCTAGGCTTGTGTGCTCCTGTACTGTCACTTCGCACTCTACTGCACATGTCGGCTGCAGAAGAAAGAGAAAGAGCCACTGTCCTGTCTGTATCATGTCAGTCGAACGCACCATTCTTTCCATATCACTGACAATTTAACATTTAAACAAACATAAAGACAACTGAAATCATCCTGTCGGGATTCAGAAAGGCCAGAATAATTCTACCTGAAACTGATGCTGAGTCTGACGACAGCTACACAGAAGAGGAAGTGCTGCTCTGTTTACCTCCGGAGGTTGTGGAGTTGCTCAGAAGTGACACCGAGGATGAAGAATTGAATGGATTTAGTGATTTGGAGTGAGATGGAGAGTTTGGTAAACTTGTTCTGTTCTGTTGTTTATGTTATAGTTTATCTAAAGAACTGTTCATATGTGACGTTAACAGTCTGTTGTTCTTTGTTCTATTGTTATTACTAGAACTTGTTTTCAAGATGAAATGTCAGTTCCTGGTCCTGATTTTATAAAATAAATTTCCACCAAAAAAGTACAACTTATAGTCTGGTGTGACGTATATGTTTTTTTCTTCTTAATTACTAATTTTTGTCTTTTGTGACTTACACTCTGGAGCGCCTTATATTCTGAAAAATACAGTATGTAGCACATAAACATTCTTCTCATTCTCAGTGTATGCCAGTCCTTCTCAAATAGTTGGGCACAAAGCCAGGGAGGGCGAGTGTGACCTCAGGGAACATGCTTTTTTTTTTTTTCTTTTTTTTTTTTTTTTGCTGTATTAGAAATAAAATAAAATGTAATTGCACATCCACTACAGCAGTTGGCAGTATAGTGTTGTTTTTTTGCATCAAGCACACACACGGAGACAGACATAATGAAACAAACGACAATCTCACGAAAGGTAAGACGAGGCAATATGACGAAGCGTATGTAGCGCTTAGCTTCATTGAGACTACGCTGGAAAACGAGGAAAGACCAGTGTGTTTCCTGTGTCTTAAAATGCTGGAAGCGGAAAACATGAAGCCATATAAATAAAAGTTTTTTCATTTTTTTCATTTTGTGTGTAAATGAATAAGGGAAAAAACGGATATTGGCCATTTCCTGTTTCCGAGACTTAAACTCTGATGCTGGAATTTTGCGCCGCATATGGACTAAACCAGGACTAAACCAGAACTGAACCAGGACTAAACCAGGACTAAACCAGGACTAAACCAGGACTAAACTGGTCTCAGTCCTAGTCTCAGTCCTGGTCTCAGTCCCGGTCTCAGTCCCGGTCTGGTCTTGGTCTCAGTCCCAGTCTGGTCCCAGTCTCAGTCCCGGTCTCGTCCTGGTCTCAGTCCTGATCTTGTCCTGGTCTCGTCTCGGGCTCAGTCCCAGTCCCAGTCTCAATCCTCATCTTGTCCTGGTCTGGTCCCGGTCTGGTCTCAGTCCCAGTCTCAGTCCTGATCTTATCCCGGTCTGGTCCCGGTCTAGTCCTGATCTTGTTCCGGTCTGGTCCCGGTCTCAGTCCCAGTCTGGTCTTGGTCTCAGTCCTGGTCTCAGTCCTGATCTTATCCCGGTCTGGTCCCAGTCTCATTTCCGGTCTTGTCCCGGTTTCAGTACCGGACTGGTCTCGGTCTCAGTCCCAGTCTCAATCCTGATCTTGTCCCGGTCTGGTCCCGGTCTCGTCCTGGTCTCAGTCCCGGTCTGGTCCCAGTCTCAGTCCCAGTCTCAATCCTGATCTTGTCCCGGTCTGGTCCCAGTCTCGTCCTGGTCTCAGTCCCGGTCTGGTCCCAGTCTCAGTCCCAGTCTCAATCCTCATCTTGTCCCGGTCTGATTCTGGTCTGGTCTCGGTCTCAGTCCCGGTCTCAGTCCTGATCTTGTTCCGGTCTGGTCCTGGTCTCAGTCCCAGTCTCATCCTGGTCTCAGTCCCAGTCTCAATCCTCATCTTGTCCCAGTCTGGTCCCAGTTTCAGTCCCTGGTCTCAGTTCTGGTCTCAGTCCTCGTCCTGACCCCAAAGTCGTTATCTGTTTTTTCACTTTGTTTTTGGCGACAAATAATGAAGAAAATCGTTGTTTTTTCATTTTCTCATTTTTGTTTTTATTTTGAAAAAACGAATGAACGAATGATACCCGGATTCTTCTGCTTTCTAATTGGGTAATGGTCTTGAGAAAGAAAACATAAATTATAACATAAACAACTTGGCCGTCTTGTCCGATGTGGCTGGGGTTTAATATCACACTGTGGAAGATTCCAGGCAGAGCAATAACACCGTGAGTTATTACTCGAGTCAAGTAGCTGGCAAACTCTCCTCCAGAAAAGTTGTAGTGTGGAATAGGAAATAAAATAATAATTACATAGCACTCAAAGTACTTTCAGTGCAGGGCAATAGTGGCTCAAGAGGTAAATCCTGGCTCTGACAAGTGCGTACTGTTGTTGTGTCCTTGGGCAAGAAAGTGTATGTGTGAGTGAGACGTGAGCGTTAGTCGAGGATTCCATTGGAGCGGAATGATAGCCACATATCTGTCATTTAGGGCAGTTATGACTACAGCGACGTCTCACCGTCACTTAACCCGCGGAGTGAATGACAAGTGGACTCTAGTGCTGTGAGGTGATTGACAACTATATTTATGTTCTAAAAAATACAGCTTTAGTAACTTTAGGAACTGTATGTAAGACTTTGCTTTTAAATTTCTTAAAGTTAACTGTGTCCCTAAATCCGTGTATCATTCGTTTATTTGTTTTTCAAAATAAAACCAAAAAAAAAGAAAATGAAAAAACTATTATTTTCTTCATTATTTGTCTCCAAAACCAAAATGAAAATATGGATAACGATTTGTTTTTTCAGTTTTCGATTTTGTGTTTACAGTGGTCCCTTGTTTATCGCGGGGGTTATGTTCTTACAATGATTATACCTGTTTTAAGGCTGTAAAACCCCTCACCACACACTTTATACACTTTTCTCACACAGGACACTTACAACCATTTTTACATCCTTCTTAAAACTTATTGCTGCTGTCGTCCTTTTCTTATTTTCCTCCTTCCTTATGTAACGAAGCGAAGATTCATTTATTCCGTAATGGAGCCCTACAGAGCAGAGTCCTGCACGGGTCCATAGTCCACAGTCCTGCACAGGTCCATTTTGGAGACCCGAGATTATATCAAACTTTTGCGCTGCATACGACACGGAGTGAATGAAAACTAAACCCAAGGACTAACCCAGGAATGAACTGGGACTGATTCCTGGACTGAAGAGTAGTCATGGAATCAGTCCTGAACTAGGACTGAACTAGGACTAAAACAGGAGTAAACCAGAAGTGAACCAGGACTCACTGTCGGGACAGGCTCGGAGGTGACCGCAGGAGAAAGGACCGACAGAGAGCTCCGCACCTCACAGAGGTAAGCTCGGCAATTGCCCCATCGTGCTGCACTTCAGAATCACACTGCTAGAGATCGAACATGTATGTAAATTTGTCATTTGTCACATTCTGTACTGTACAGGAGACACAGCACGGAAGAGACTGATTGACAATGGTCTACAGTCCCTTAGCCAATCAGGACACAGGGGGAAGAGCACAATGCGGGTTCAAACGCTGTTAAAAAAAACATGCAAAATTGCAGTAAAATAATCAGCAAAACAGCGAGACCACAAAAGGTGAACCACGTTATAGTGAGGGACGACTGTATATGAATAATAAAAAAAACGGATAATGACCGTTTCCGTGACTTAAACTGAAATACTGGACTGAATCAGGACTGACTTAAAACAGGAGTAAACCAGGACTAAGCAAAGACTAAGCCGGTCTGGTCCTGGTCTGAGTCCCGATCTGGTCCTGGTTTCAGTCCAGGTCTAGTCCCAGGCTGGTTCCAGTCTCAGTCCTTATCACCCAACATTCTACACGGGCGCACCTCCGGGCTGTGCGAACACTCAGTCCTGGTTCTGTCCTGGTTTAGTCCTGGTTCAGACCTGATGTAGACCTGATTTAGACCTGGTTTAATCCTGGTTTAGTCCTGGTTTAGTCCTGTTTTAGTCCCGGTTCAGTCCGTATCTGCTCACAGTCAGAACACCTGTTTTTCTAGGTATTTTTGAGCTATAAATCCACCTGTAATTGAATACATGTAAGGTAGGTCTATTTAATGTCATATTGTGGAACATTCCAGGTAGAACAATGACACATCCATTGAAACTCTGAGCTTCCAACCAATAAGTTACATGTGCACCTTTAAAGAAATCTCCAAAATAATCTTACCATTGAGTCAGCTGCTCTAGAATCATTTGGAACCAACTAATTTTTCCACAAATTTGTGTTTCCATGTCGCCCAGATGGAAAACATGAATAACATATAGTATAGCTGTTACCTCAGGCTCTATCTTGATGAGTGCGATGTCGATCCTCTGGTCCACATCTTTGACCGCGGCGTCGTACTGGAGACCGCTCTTCAGCTCCACTTTGACCCTCTGTTTGTTGGACAGGACGTGAGCGTTTGTGACGATCCAGCCGTCCTCCGACACGATGAAGCCAGAGCCGCTGGAGACCGACACCTCATCTGGGGAGAAGGGAAGCCTACAGAGACATGCAGAGAGAGTGGTTAGGGTGGAGATGAGGAGATGACACCACAACATTCAGTGAATTCTGCTAACAGAAGGCACTGCTCTGTCTAAAACCCTGTTAGTCAAATTAAACTTTAATTTGAAGAGAAAGAAGTGATTTAGCTGGAACTAATAGGTGAGCTGATTTGTGTCTTTAAAGATGCATTGTGTAAATTTTCTGGTGGGGGGTCAGTATGGTATTAAACTTTTTTTTTTTCCTCATGGAGACACACCAGTTACAAGTTATAGGTCAGATCTGTGGAGAGGCAATCCCACTCACTGTTAGAACGCCTGTTTTTGTAGATATTTATGTATGACCTGCACTCATGATACGTATGACCTGCACACACGTATGACCTGCACTCATATGACCTGCACACGAATGACCTGCACTCATGACCTACACGTATGACCTGCACTCATATGACCTGCACACGTATGACCTGCACTCATATGACCTGCACACGAATGACCTGCACTCATGATACGTACTGACCTGCACTCATATGACCTGCACACATATGACCTGCACACAAATGACCTGCACTCATATGACCAGCACTTGTATGACCTGCACGCATATGACCTGCACTCGTATGACCAGCACTCGTACAACCTGCACTCGTACGACCTGCACTCATATGACCTGCACACGAATGACCTGCACTCATGATACGTACGACCTGCACTCATATGACCTGCACTCATATGACCTGCACACGTATGACCTGCACATGTATGACCTGCACTTGTATGACCTGCACTCGTATGACCTGCACATGTATGACCTGCACTTGTATGACCTGCACTCATATGACCATGCACTCATATGACCTGCACACCTATGACCTGCACTTGTATGACCTGCACACATCTGATCTCTGAAAACCATCTCTGAACCATCTCCAACACAATATACAAACAGAACAGACTCACCATCATCATCATCATCATCATCATCATCCCTCTGTCACAGAAAGAACTCATATTCCACTGAGTCGTGTCCTTTAGTCCGACAGAAACTGAACTGCATCAGCTCACAAGGAAAGAGCTGTTTTTTTTCCAGCGCTTATAATTTATGCAAATGAATCATGTGGTTTTAAGTTTAGTTTTTGTGAAACGTAAACAAAAGTGTCAAAGCTGCATTAAACACATTATAATGTCAAACGGGCTGATGTGCCTCTAAAGTGCTTATGGTTTATATGTTGTAAAGTTGAGTTTATTTATACAGATTAGTAATAGTAATAATAATGATGATAATTTGAATATTAAACGTTAATGATTAATCGAAAATCAACTGTTAACTCTCCCAACGATCGATTAAGAAAACTGACTATATAAATCTACTATCTATGAAGAAAGTGAAGGACATGCATGCAGCTTCCACTCATCCCAGTATTAAGGTAAATCTTTGAACTGAAAATGTATTGACTGTGTTTCTTATTTGTGGGAGGGTTAAGGTTAGGGTTGTCCAATTTATATGTAGAAATGCACATTTGTAAAGGTGACTTGGTATAAGTGGCTCTTCTCTTGATTTTGCTCTTCCAGTGTGGCTCTTGTGAAAAAAAAAAAGAGAGAGTATCACTGGTTTAATGTGAAGATATGGTATCAATATCCTGGGCTGCTGTATTGATATATCGCCAAAGGTATGTTTTGGTATATTTTACTAAATTATTTTGTTACAGCGCTACAGTTTTGTTGCTTGTTTAGACAAAAGAAACTTGTTCAGGCAACACATTTGACATATTCACTGTTTTGATGAGTGAAATGGGCTTTTTTCATTTTAACTTTGCACAAAAAGTGATTTAACAAAAACTTTTAGTATCACAGCCATCATTTAGCCTTTATTTTTAATTGAGCCTTATTGAATCATTTTGAAATGTATCGTATCGAATCAAAAGTGCACTGAATCGAGATATGTATCGTATCGTGGCCTATGTATCGAGGTATGTATCGTATCGGCCACTTCTTAATGATACCCAGCCCTAGTGTGGAATTAAAATACTATCTTGCTTTGTTCAATTACATGTATTTAGTTGTTATAAAACTGTATGCTTTCTTAATACGAACAGGATCACCTCTCCACGGATCTGAACTGTAACGACCCGGTGGCGTCACATGGACATAAGTGTTATCACGATATGATTTGATAATTTCAAACTCAATTTCAATACAGAATAGACGTGATACTGATCATATGTCGATTCCAGTACAAAAATTATAATAAAAAACACCACCACTAGAAAAGTACTATACATTTAAGGAGTATAGGATTCCACCTGAGAGTAAGAAGAGCACACACAATCTACAAACCTGTGATACATGGAAGTATAAAGTGTACTGTAGTGATCGTGCTGATTTGCTGTTTACCGTTGGAAAAGCTCGAGGTGTACCACAGCTGGGACGATCTTATCCACCACGTCTGCGATGAAGTTAAACCTGTAGCGCATGCTCAGGGGAGTCTCCAGACCTGTACAAGAACATACACAAATCACTATCACTTATGAGAATTATCGAAAGTGGTATAAACTATGGCAAATGTGTGGTGGAGCTGACTAACCCAAAATACATTGATGATTTTTTGTTGTTGTTTTTTTTCAAGAGAACCCACAAAATGCAGACCAACCCAAGCTGTTGTGTAGAGAGTACCTTCCTATTCAGTTATAAAATTGTTAACCACAAAAGATTGTAATCCGTGTATCATTCGTTCATTCGTTTTTCAATATAAAACCCCAAAATTAGAAAACGAAAAAACAACTGTTTTCTTCATTATTTATCTCCAAAACCAAAATGAAAAAAACGGGTAATGATTCAGTTTTCGATTTTGTGTTTAAATGAAGAATGGAAAAAATGGATAAAGGACATTTCCCGTTTTGACTTATGTGACTGTGATGCTGAACCAGGTCCGGGACCAGACTGGAACCAGATCGGGACTGAGACCGGGACCAGACTGGGACCAGACCGAGACTGAGATCAGGACTGAGACCGGGACCAGACTGACCATTATCCGTTTTTTCATTTTGGTTTTGGAGACAAATAATGAAGAAAACATTTGTTTTTTAGTTTTCTTATTTTTGGTCTTATATTGAAAAACGAATGAACGATGAATGAATGATACAAGGATTGATTTTAAAGGTACATTATGTAACTGTTTTGGTGAAAATATGCCTCATGCTTGTCATTATGGAAAAAGGATATAGTTGCGTTGCCAGAAATGTTCTACAGTACGGCATTAAACTGATCCATCTCCATGAACACAGTAATGAGGTTACATGTCACGTTTAAGGACAGGCGAGCATGGTCACAGTACTAAGAGTATATTATGTTTATGAAGGATTTTTAGAAATAAATATGTCTGTAATTGTCTCTGCAAATGTAATTCTATCTCTATGGACTTTTTGTTAAAATGAATAAACAATTAAAAATGAGAGAGTGGACAGAGCGCTGTGGGAGGATGTTAAAGAGTAAACAGAAGAGGTGAAGACTTCACCGGGGGACACGTCTGTGTTTAGAAAAGGAGATGTTTGTGTCTCAATGCCAATGCTAATGCTAATTTGTAGGCATAATAAATACTATAACAATGCAGCAACTGAAGTAAACAACTTTACTTATATTAATGAGTATGTTTCATTGGTTTATTTTCTATTTTATGCTTTATCTTTGAGACACAGTACACTAGCTTGCATGCTACTGTGTGCAGAGCCTATTGAATAAATCCAATACAGATGCAGCTGTTTAGTGACAAACTATCTCTATCTATCTCTATCAGAAAAGTCGCATATTCAACCTTTCATACACAATCAGTTGGCTGGATATTATCGGCCGATATGGACACTTGGAGACATATCAGCTATCGGCCTAAATCTTGCCGATATAGTGCATGTGGGCATGTTATATGTGTTAGAAAGCTTAGACTCTCTATATTATGTTCATTTAATCCAATTTACACACAGATATATGTCCTAATATGTGGCGCCGCATCAATATTTATCTGCGGAGTCATCATTAATATATAGTATTATATACTATATATATATATATATATATATATATATATATAATATATATATATATATATATATATATATATATATATATATATATATATATATATATGTATAGTAATGTGTCTGTGATGCCGTACTGCCCCTGAACGCACCCCAGAGTCACATCACTCATGTGCTCTTGTTTACACCCATACACAGTCATAGATCCATGTGCACAACACTGAGGCGCTGCTTTAAACGCTCTTGTAACTGTGTTTAAACACTCTTGTGTCTGATCCACCAAACTGACGATAAATAAAAGTGAACTTCAGCACAGTTTAGGCCAGAAACAAAACTACTGCTGTTTATATCAAAGTGCAAGTGCGGAGAAGAGAAACAACACACAGCTGCTGTCAACATGCTGGATTATATTATTTTTATGGACCAGATGGTTTTGTGTCAAGATTAAAAGGACACTGATTAGTGCAGACCTATGATCTGAGAGGTGCCTGTGTGAGCAGTGAGTGTCGCAAATGTGTCGGTTTTGGGCACATTTGCAACACACTTTTCATTCTTTCTCATTGGTTAGTGCTTAGCTAAGGGACTATGGTGGCTCTACACATGTTACTCGACACACATTAACATAGAGTTGTGAATGATTCACATGATAGCGGTAGTTTACTTACTTTCTTTACTGGCTAGAATGCAAAAATGCCGACCTCCTGTCTTTAAATATGATGTAAAGAGGCAGAAATTTTTTTTTTTTTTTAATATATTGGTTATCAGCACCTCCAACTCACATTTTATTGGAATATTGGCCACAAAAAAAAAAAATCGTGCCCTAATATACACAACCAGTCAAATGTCTGGTTACACTCTAATTCAATGTTTTGTTTTTTCTTTATGCTTAGTACTTTCTGCATCCATTTATGGAAGACATCAAAAATATGAAGCAAGATTAGTTAAACAAGCCAACTAAATGTTTTCAAATTTTATATTATCACATTCTCAAATTATCCATCTTTTGCTTTGTTGACAACACTCCAAACACTTGGCCTTCTCTCAATGAGCTGAGAAATACCAAAAGTGCAAAGCAGTGATCAAAGCAAAGGGTGACTATTTTTTTTTTTTTTTTTCTTTTTTTTTCTAAGTTTTGAGTTATTTTTGGTTTAGTTTTTGTTTACTACATTCCATTTGTGTCACTCATAGTTTTGATGTCTTCAATGAGAATCTTCAGTGGAAATAATGATAAAAATAAACAAGAAATATGAATGAAAAAGTATCCAAACTTTTCATTGGTGCACAATCAATTTACCAGGTAACATCACAACAAAGTGATTTCCCCTCTCACCTCACAGCAAGAGGGTACACAGTTCAATTACCAGACCTCCTAACTGTCTCTCCTTTTGTTGAGTTTGCATGTTCGGTTCTGAATGGCTTTCCAAGTTGTCGAACAAAGTTTCTACTCATCCATGCTAGTATTCTCGAAGTGAAAGGCTGACAGACCCTTTTCTCTTTGCAAATTTAACAATATATCATTTCCGAGTCTGGACTGAAGCTGCAAACCTCATTTAGGCTTTTTAAAATGACAAGCTCGCGAAAATGGCTGTTTGAGAATCACCTTCATTGTCTCCTTGCTACATTATTAAATAACTTCAACTTTTAAGTGACACATTTTAGGTCAAATACATATCTTTTTGGGCGGTACAATTTTAAAAGCCTTAATGGGTCCCTTAAAGCAGGCAAGGTCATATATTACGTGCTAAAACGGACGTCATAATTGGTATTGACCTGTTTTGCAGAGATGACAACATAATGGAAAGTCAGCCAATTTTGGTCTCTTTTACATCTGTGTCTAGACGTTGTGTGTCGGTAAAAGTCCATATTACTTAAAGGCTGTCACTGGCTCGCTTTAATGACACTCTTAAAAAGAATCGAAGTCAAAGCAGGGCCCTTAAAGGAAACGATTAATTGGCCCCTAGCTCCAACCTCCTGTTTCTATAGAGACCGGATCATGGGACTGAAGATGTTTTGCTCTTTATGCAGGGAGGAGCACATTATATCAATGGACACACGCCGACCGCTGTGAAGTGGAGGTTTTTAAGGTGACAACGAGTTCTCCCAAGTTGAGGAAGTTCATGCATTTGTACAGTTCAATTATATCTGTGTTTAGATCAGGGATGGGCATGATTAATCGATTAATCGATAATTGATCATTAAGAATTTCATCGATTACGTCGAGTAACATTTTAATCGACAAACCGAATGTAGGTTGCTGTGTAGCGTGACCAAACAGGGGTCTGTACATGTGTCTCTCTGCACTCAGAAGGAACGAGACACAAACAGTCGGTCAGTCTACAATGCACCGAAGCACAAATGTGTATTTAACGATGATTTGTACAAGAAATTCCACGCTTTCCTTTGCGTTCGGGACAAGTGTGAGGCCATGTGCACAGTGTACAAAGCAGGAACATATGTTTCAGTGTCCAGTGGGAAAAAGCTTTACCAGGTGAGAGTCGCACAATGTGGATGACGAGTCCCCACCCCCCTCCCCCCGTACGGTGTCCTGGTTTTGACAAACGCAAATGTGGTCACACTAACCTGTATTCACCTGAATCATGTCTTTTAATCCAACAGAAGTTGACCGCATCAGCGCAGAAGAGCTGTAGTTTTATCTTTGCTTAGTTTATGCAAATTAGCGATGCGGTTTTAAGTTTAGTTTCTGTGAGAGTTGCGCAAAACTGAATTAAACACATATAATGTCAAACAGGCTGATGTGGCTCTAGAGTCGTTATGTTTATATGTCATAAAGTTGAATTGATTTATGCAGATTAGTAGTGCAGATAGTAATAATAATGATGATCATTTTAATATAAAAACATTAATGATTAATCAATAATCGGTCGTTAATTCTTCCGACGATCGATTAAGAAAATTTCATCGAATGCCCATCCCTAGTTTAGATATATATTGCAGAATAAAATCATTGTTATCTCAACAAACTAACTGGAGTTGGACTTGACACAATGTAAAAAGACCGCTGTTTCTGAGGCTCAGATAATTAGAAATTTTCCAAGATTGTTGTAACACGTGTAGAAACCCTGTGCCTTTTTAAAGTCTTTTAATGACTGTCAGACTTTGTGCATTTCTATCATCAAATCCCGTTCATTACTACTGCATGCTTACATTAACATCAGGGCATATTTCCTATTAGTTTAGATGAGTTTTTCCCTATAGTAAATCTCTCTGCTGCCAGAAGATTAAGCACTATACCAGATTTAAGTATGGAAAGTGCTCAAGATAAAAAATAATGTTTGGTTTTATACATGATCATTATTAAGTTCTAATCTATAACTATTCGAGATGTAACAATAACCGAAATATTGTGATATCGTATCGTCAAAGTTCTCACAGTAGTATTGTGGACCACCACAATATATCAAATTACAAGTCTCTCTCTCTCAGCAATAGCTAAAAAAAGACA